GAGTGACATCGTAAGGTAACCTCGAGAAAGAAGATTGTTCTACGATGATTTAGCAAACATTCCGTGGTAGCAGCTTGGACGTTCCTACGAGTGTCTAGAGTCCCGGAGACTTCATTGAACGAATGGAACTTTGCTTGTAAAAATTTTCTCTTCCTTTTTTTTTTCCTCTAAATTTTTCTAATCCAATATTTCACGTGTGCCAAAGAAATATTGGAATTTTCTTCTTTCTTCCTTAACGTCTTGTCGTTTGAATTTTCGTGCAGGGTACTGTACCCTGAACACGTGTCCCACATGTGCAAGGGTACCTATGCCAGAGTCCCGTATCGTATGTGTATTTGCGCGACGATCGAATCTCTTTGCCTGCACTCATGCGTGCACCGCAGTCCCCATACGAACATACTCGCATAACATATGTGACGTAGAGACGAAAAATCATTGCCAGTTATTTCTCTCGCCTGTAATAGGAATCCCGTGCGATTATTTTCTTCGTGTCCTGGCGTGGGCTCTTGACACTTGGTCGCGTCTGGTCTGAAAATTGATTACAATATCCAGGCTAAGTTTACCTGGTTGTTGTCGTTTGGAAAAAAAAAATTGAGCACATTCTTATTCGAGCCAGATTCTCAACGGCTTCGGGACTCCTATTATCCTTTATTAATTCGTCTCACGCGTGGCTACGTTTCATCGGCCATTTTCTGTTTTTTCTCCCTTAGTCCCACTCCGTCCTTCCATACCACGTGGCAGTACTTCACGCTCTTTTTGGTCCCCATTTTGTCTTCGCATTTTCAGTCAATTTTTTATTTTCCAAATTGCCCCGTTCAACCGGCAGGTTGAAACTACGCGAAATACCTTGGACGCTCAGGACCCAATCAATGTCTTCGTCGCCATTGTTCTTCCCACATTGATCTTCTCGTCGAGGAATATTCCTGCACGCGCGTAAACACTCGTCCTACTTTCTCGACCCGGTGAACGAGTCTTTTATCTCTGTCCTTCTCTCTCGCTATGTTTCTCTCACTCTGTCGTATATATAATTATGGTCGGTTCAAGTATCTGCTCTTGGGCGTGCAGTGTTTTCTGCACGATGCACACGCACCGACGATTTATCATTCGAGGATGCATCCAATCGCGTGGTTCAGGTTCGCCTTTACGTTATTTCCTTGATATGCCAAGAAAAGAAAAAAAGAAGCACAGTCTTTAGCATTACAATCATCGCTGGTACAGTCGACGCGTCCGTTTGGTCTTTTTATCTTCTCGAGACTCCGTTTAACGAGTCTCTCATTTGACGACAGTAGTACAATAGCTTGAAAGAGACGATGTATTTTATTTCTCAAAGAGAATCCTCTTATATGTCCTCCTTTCGCTCTTTAAGCCAAAGTCAAGAATTAACGTTGATCCCGTATCTCAGGATATTAGTTCTGTCAGAAATAGAAATGAAATTTCGTATCTCGCTTGACGAGGGTCGTCGCTGGTACTAATTGTAATTGACACTGAAACGAGCGGGAAATTTGAAATTGCGACATACTCCACGGCGTCAAATAATTTCGTGGGTCTCGTCCCTGAAAAATTGTCAAACCAGTATTATTGGCCGTTGCTGGCACGGAATAAAAAAAAAAAATAAAAGGGAACGTCAAATGATTGATCGAAATTCGTTTTAGCAAGTTTTCAGATACCTCTGTGTGGTTGTGCCTGTATATACGTGGACTGAATTTTCCATTATCCTTCGATGCAATAAGAAATTCTGTGGATTCAGCCAATGGGATGTAATACTGATTTACGAGGTCTATTCCAATTTTCTTGGAGAATTTTCAAAGTTTTCAGGTACCTGCTACGACTAATATATAATATGTCTGTATGGACTATGTGCCCTTGGTGCTGGGTTAGGTGCCTGGGTATACGGGCTATACTGATTTATAACGGGCTCAAGGAACTCCGCCGGGTCTACCTAGACATCGGTAACGAGTATCGAAGGACTCGTTCTGCTTGGAATTTGGTCTAGACGCAAAATCTTTGCTCCAGGAAGATGCGGAGCAAGATTCCTCTCTATCATCCTTATCCCATGTGTCCTGTTTCTCTTGGACTTTCTCCTTTTTTCTCCCTTGGCCACTTATTGGATCCGCACGTTTGCGGGTGCCATCCTTTAACCGATACCGTTAGCTCTCTCTCTCTCTCTCTCTCTTACGCTCTCACTCTCTCTCAGGTCTCTTCAGGAGGCCAGGGGAGAATTTTCTTTGGGAAGAAATCCGAGACGCACCTCCTACGAACGAGAGGCTGGACCTAGGGATTACTTTTCCTTCGACTTCAGATCTCGCTACTACCCTTGGGGCTTGACTTTTTCTTTCATAAGGTTTTTTTTTCCCTTCTACCAGCCATCAGATATACTTTCGGCAATGTCCTCTTCGGCCAAAGGCATTCTTGGAAAGGCTGTTTTCGCCGTAAATCCCCCTTGTCGTCTCGATCACCTTCGAATCCTATACCAATAAATACGCTTAATTTATCTGGCAGCCTGGGCAATGAGAGAGATAGACAGAAGAGGAGGAAAAGTCTAAGCATTTCTCACAATAAACAGTACCGATATACCGATATATATTTAAGCAACGTCTTTTCATAGGATACGCACCATGCTTTCACGTGTACGCGTAACTTTTTCTCCACACTTTCTACTGCTCTCGATTTTTCTCTCCCTTTTTCTCTCATTTTAATACTCCCTTTTGCCTCGCGTTTAGCATTCCTCTCTGGTATATGAATATATATATATATTCACTGCAGACCTACTCTCAGAGGCGTACGTGTACATGTTAATGTACAAGACACAGTTTCTCGGCGAGCGATTCACGAGATTCTGATGATTCGAGAAATTCCTGGCCACAGCTATTTTTCAGGGCTGTTCATACGCCCTCCTTTTAAAAGCAGAAGGTACACACGTAAGATTATAGAAAAATGAGTTTGATCCGTTGACGTGCGAGTTCGTTTGCAATGGGCTTGACTCCTGTTATCATTAAATTACCTGCTGAGTATGGGATAACGTCGAAGGCAATTACCGTACAACGTTTGTTGGACGGAATTCCATGTCTTTTTGCTGTGGTGAAATTTTAAGCGTGACAAACGCACAAGGAAGGAAGCGCGTGGGAATGCCTTTCTTTTTTTCTTTGTCTTCAATTTCTTATACTCAGACGTCTTGGAATTTGTCGATTCGGCACTGTCCACGTGGCTGGAGTTTACATAACCAACTACTAATAGCCGGGTGTTCGTCAGGTTTAGGGTTAGCCGTTGTATATTCTGTAGAAAGACGGAATTTTTAAAAATAAATTGGCTTTTTTCTATTTATATATTTTATTTTGCAAGTAAGCAGACACTTAGGCAGGCAGCCACGTATATATAGGTACTGATAACTTTCACTGAACTGTCTCGTGCGGACTTTTTACGTGGGCGCCATGGAATCCTTAATACAAGGTGACCAGGAATAAACTCGCGTTAAACGATACGGGCTTATGGAATTAAAGAGTTTCATTCATACGTAATCACTCCCTGGGGAATTCATCAGTGATAATCTGTCTTGAACGCTGATACAGGTTGCCGTTTAGTCCCTTGAAAAAATCAAAAAAGGAGTGAAAGCCTTCTTCTGATATAACGTTACTTCGCTTGCTTACGTGCAATTGACAGATTAAAATTCCTCCGAGTCGAACGAATAGATCGGGAATGACGCAAGATTTAATGGGACAATGAATCACCTTCCTGGAATCTAAATCGTAACACAATTGAATTCGAGAATACCGTTGCGTATTTCACTGTGTGGTGTATTTATATTTTAAAAGTAGCTGGCAATAGTTGCAAGGGAAAATTCCAATGTAGATTTCTCGTCTAGTCTCGACGCCACCGCCGCTAGCGCCGCTGCTCCATCTAGCGGCGAAAAATGGCAACTCGATAAAGAAGTCGTTACGAACGAAATAGTTTGAAAGAAGAAAACAGGAAGCTCACGGAGTCGTCTTTCTCGAGAATGTAATCGGCTTATTTCGGTGATGATGGGTTGACAGTCCGTGTAAACTCGGTGTGTCCGGTCGTAACGGAACAAATACGTAAAGTCAGACGGGACACTCGTCGTCGTATATTCTTTTATTCTAACCTATCCGCAGTACTTTTGTACTTCTGTACTCATGGCTGTGGGTAAGTAACCGCGCGGCGTAAAATGTCCTTTGACGTGTTTTTCAACGAGCTTCTCTCTCTCTCTTTACTTTTCTTTCTATTCTGTACTTGGGGTGACAGATAGGGAGGAAGCGAAAAAAAAAAGAGAACGCCCATATATCGCTTTGTTACGAGAAGCCAGAATGAAAATGTGTGCGAAGCAGCGAGTCCTCTGGAAACGTCAAAAACATTGGAGAATAATGACCGAACTTGTGGCAGGATTGCCAGACGAATCAGAGAGTGAAGGAGCTTTCTGTGTGTGGAGATAATTCTTTCGATTTTTATCATGGGAATCAGACTGAGTAACGTTCTCTCTTTTTCTTTTCTGTAGGTTACGAAAGTCCTTTAGTCTCGATCTTCAATTTTATTGTTACATTATATACTAACTGGGAGCTTTGATCTGATCGAGGGGGAAGTCAGTGGTGAATGTTTTTGTTTGAATTATCATATCAAATGTGGTGTGGGATTCAGGCTGGAATTCGTAGAAGGGAAATCGTGACTCTTCTTATCCTTGTTATTCTGGGAAGGAACCAGTCGCACTCGGATAACCCGTAGAATTCTCATTTATTTTCTCTACCCTTCTTTCTCTCTCTCTCTTTCTCGCTTGTAACTGATAGATGAATCATCAGTCTTCTTCGTGGAAGTTGCACGATCTTCTTCCCCTTGGGAGACTGTCCACTGCTTCAGACACATATGAGTACGCATATGGATATTTAGGTTGAGATATTATTTTTTTTTTATATATTATGTTACATATACATTGTTTGTATATATATATTTTTATTTTCTTAATGATTTAATCATCGAATTCTTTCTGTTTTCAGGGTCGACACACGAAGACTGGTCAGCTGGCAGCGATCAAAGTCATGGACGTCACCGAGGTGAGAATTCTATGAATTAAGATAACAATCAAGACTTTTATCAGTGATAAAAGATTTCAAATCAGCTGAATTATCTTTATCGCTCTCACAACAGCGTTTGGGTATGCAAAATTTCCAAGCAAAAATCAGTCATGGATTTTATAAATTATTTAAAATATTTCACCCCACCTCATCCACCTAATAATTCAGCTGACGAAGGTTCGTACGGGGAATGTCGCAAAATCCATAAATTCGTTTAAAATTTAATTCCTCTGTCCTTTAGTCCTTCACGGTTCAACCGTATAAACTCCTTCCTAATATAATTCACCACGTAGCTCATACCCAGTGGCAAGATATATACCAATGCATTTGGCTCATCCATTTTGCATCGGTGGTTCCTGCACAGCCATCCCGGTCTTCTCGACCGTTCCGCGAGCTCCGTGGGGTTCACGCTTTTCGTTTTGCCGAAGAAAAACAGGTTTTGGAATACGTGGTGTGGCGCCCTGGCAAAGTCGAAGCAACCCGAGAAACCCACCGGTATACAGACAGTGACAGAGAAACGGTTGGTCAGGAATGGAAGGAAACTCTAACCTATACGTATCGCATATGTACATAAGATCCACATATGTGCGTCTGGGACTTTTAACGTTATTCCTGGGAGACAGCGAGAATTTAGTCTCTAATACTAGCTACCACTATATACATAACAAGTCCGTACATGGATAAATCCAACAGAAACTGTGCCTACGAAGGATTCTGAAAAGAGCCGTTAGCGGATATTTCCTCAGGATCAGGACCAACTACGAATAGGAACTATGACCATACTTCTCTACCTCTTGGAGACACACGTTTATGCTAATGGCAGCTCTTTCGTGTATATATATATATATATATATATATTCACACACCATGTGTAATAAAAAGAGATAGACCGCCCACTATCACGCTAGCGAACGTGACGTGCCCGTTCGGCTTCTTCGTTTATGCTAATGGCAGCTCTTTCGTGTATAGCGGATATTTCCTCAGGATCAGGACCAACTACGAATAGGAACTATGACCATACTTCTCTACCTCTTGGAGACACACGTTTATGCTAATGGCAGCTCTTTCGTGTATATATATATATATATATATATATTCACACACCATGTGTAATAAAAAGAGATAGACCGCCCACTATCACGCTAGCGAACGTGACGTGCCCGTTCGGCTTCTTCGTTGCTGCCATTGCGAATCGGTTTGCGCGATCGTTACGCGTTTACGTTTACGTAAACCACCTGGTGAACAGGCTATAACGGGTGATCATGGTACAATACCATGGACGGTATTAATTCATATAAATTTTTTTCCCATATACTCTCTCTCATGGCTTTCACTCCTTGTCCACCTTGTCTCCCCCCCTTATGTATCTAATTCAATGGCTGACTTTCTCCTATTCGTTTATTGTATTTTTAAAAATCTTTTTTCCCTTCTTCCAGACTTCTTGTGTACTTGTTGAGACACCCTGAACATGCGTCTCCTCTCCTCGCATGCCCTTCGTACCACACTGCACTTACGCGTATGGATACTACGTATGAGATAAATAACCAGAGTCCACCTATGGTGTATGCACGTACGTTATTTATGTACGTGCTAAACTACGTTCCCATCACGCGCGTCTTCTGCGAGAGCACGTTCATCATAAGGATCAGGACTCGTCCCAGGATGCACATATCGTTACGTGGGAATATTGAAAATGTATTCCGACTTTTGACTCGAAAAGAATTATTGGTATTTGTATGGTCGTTCCGTTTTCGTTGAGAGTCTTAAACGACTTGCGGTTTCCTTTTGAACGGATGTAGGTTGCCTGAGTGTCCTCGTGACGTGTCACTCTCTGGTGTTATATGTATACGCATATAGGTATATAATGTACAGGTGGCGAAATTCTATCTCTCAGGATGCACCGGAGAATCCGTTAATGCAACCGCAGCTATGCACTTCTCTTGTAGCTGCGGTTAAGCCTGTCTGTAAATCGGTTGTCGCTGCTGCCACCTGTATTTATATATGTGTATTGTGAAAGGTAAACTCTGGCATTCATTAGGGAATAAACTGAACACCCGTTATACGTTTTCAATGGTATCTTAAGAAACTGTGTAGGCGGATTTACGAAATTTGTACTGGCATAGAATCATTTGCTGTCTGTTTGGAAGAGATTTTTGTATTTAGGAAATTTCTTCTGTTTCAAGTGTCCTGACCTATGTTCACTTATTGTTGCTGTGAACTTTTGTTAGGTATTCATACTCTTCGCTGATCCTAATACTGACTACTGCGGGGGCTGTTTAAGTAATGAAGTAGACTGGTCTTGTTGAGGGATGACCGTTATGGGAGTTGACTTTTTTTAATTGATCCCTCCCTATCCCTTAGGACCTGCAGGAGACGCTTGTTTAGTCAATTTAATGAGAGGATGGCTAATAATGATTGTAAGGGTGATGAGGGAGATTGTAATTACGTTAATTGTCATATGGATGCTCATTGTGTGGCTGCGTAGTGCCCATCCTATTCTTGTTACACCATATGTGTATAATGATGCCTACGCAGTGGATGAATATTGTATTAGGTATAAGTTGTAGAATTGTGGTACGTAGTGGAAAGTAATTTTTTGAATTCCTTGTTCGCTGGAGCTTTATATCATATCTCAGGTATGACTAAGACTTTATGCGTACTGGAGATTCCCTGTCAGGTATAATTCAGTCTAGTGGATTCCTGATGTGCTCCAGGAGTACTTGTACGTAATAGTCCAGGGTCAGTTAACAGACGTCTATTATAGCCAGTGGGAAACCTGTTTTGCACTTAGCTCTTGGGATACGTCTTGACTCCTACGTATGTACCTACCTGATGCACCCCTTTGTAATTTACTGTATCAGGATGACTGTGGTGTGTGTAGCATTCGAGAGCTATATCCTCGTGCTACTACTGGAGTCAATTATTAATGCGCCAGGTGAAGGCTGAGTAAATTTAATTCGAGTTTTTTTGTCTGTTTCAGGACGAGGAAGAGGAAATCAAGTTAGAAATCAATGTGCTCAAGAGGGTAAGATGGAGTTATCAGGTGGAACAGTATGGAGTTTGTGGAAGTGTTTTATGTAATCACTGTTACAACCAGAATCCATTAAAACTTGTTTGATTTGTAACATTCCTTTTTTAGATTGTCCTTTCAAGGACAAAAAGTTTGTGAAAATAGAGAATCTGCACTTTTTTTTGGAATTTTAAGAAAAATCTTTACTGACGGCTAATTGCATAAGACGTATGGTCGATGCTGTTCCACTTTGTAGCGAATACTGCTCAAAGATTGAGGAATACGTTAGATGGGATCGTTGGGTGATTTTACACTGATCAGTACATCGTTTTGCTTTTAGTACTCGAATCACAGAAACATAGCAACGTACTATGGGGCATTTATCAAAAAGTCACCACCTGGTAAGGACGATCAATTGTGGCTGGTTATGGAGTACTGCGGAGCTGGCTCCGTGACGGACCTGGTGAAATCCACCAAGGGCCAGAGTCTCAAGGAGGAATGGATCGCCTACATTTCCAGGGAGATACTTCGTGGACTTAGTTATCTTCATAGCAACAAAGTCATCCACAGGGATATAAAGGGACAGAACGTTCTGCTCACAGACAATGCTGAAGTCAAGCTCGGTGAGTTTCCCAGTAGACGGATCTAGGATGAAATTTGTAGTTGGCATAATAGGGGATTTGCTATCTAATTGCTTTCTCTGATGCACAGTCGACTTTGGAGTAAGCGCACAACTGGACAGGACAATAGGACGTAGGAATACCTTCATCGGTACGCCATATTGGATGGCGCCGGAAGTAATCGCTTGCGACGAGAATCCGGATGCGACCTACGACAACAGAAGTGACCTCTGGTCACTGGGTATAACTGCTTTAGAAATGGCCGAGTCACAGCCACCGCTCTGCGACCTTCATCCCATGAGAGTAAGTTTATTTTTGTCTCGTACGGGACTTCCGGTATATTTTTTCTTTAACGGCGCCGACCGTCATCTAATCGTCGTTTGATTTTGCAACCAGGCGCTCTTCCTGATTCCACGCAATCCGCCACCGCGACTCAAGTCGAAGAAGTGGGCGAAAAAGTTTCACGGCTTTATCGAGACCGTCCTAGTGAAGGATTATCACCAGAGGCCTTACACAGAACAGCTCCTCAAGCATCCGTTCATACGGGACCAACCGACCGAGCGACAAGTGAGAATTCAGCTTAAGGATCACATCGACCGGTGCAAGAAGCGCAAACAGGAGAAAGGTAATTTGGCCCGCCTACGTGGAACGAGTAGCCATACGAGGGTCTGGAAATTGTTCCGGGCAACTTCTACTTCCGCGGGACAGAGAAGACGCTCGAGCGCCGTACAATTTTATTGTAGCGACGAAAATTTTTCATCTGGTTCCTCTTTTTGTTCAACTTTCATTACTTCTTTTTCTTCCATCGACTATATCGTCCAAGCAATTAGTCTCCTTCCCCTCTAGACCGCAATTTGTGCTGCAATTACCGAGGAGTTATCGCGTATAGAAATTCCCTTTATCGCTATATTGCCTCCAGTAAATATTATTTTCTCCACAACTCGTTCGTCCAACAAGACCGATAATGGATGCTCTTGGAGCAAGCAGAAGAGCCACTCGTTAAACGCACTAACGATTTGTACTTTGCTTTATCTTTCTCTTGGATGATAAATAATACACCATATCCCCGTACCGTTGCAGAGCGCGAGGACTATCGGTACAGCGGCAGCGAGAACGAGGAGGAGGAACCAGCCCTGGCCGGTGAGCCGTCCTCGATAGTTCAAGCACCAGGTGGCGACACCCTCAGACGTAACTTCCAACAGATCCAGGAAGGTCGAACGCTCACCCAGGACGTGCCACAGCCACCGGCCAAGGACAAGGGACGACGGGAAATTCCCGAGCCTGGACCGCCGGCTAGACCGGCTATTCCGCACAGACTGATCGGTAAGCGAGAACTTTGAGTGGCCCGAGTCTTTGCGACCAGGTTTAAAACACCAGGATGCCGCACTCCGGGGGGATTCGGACCCTCGTTCCTTATTGCATGTCTTTGCCATTGGTACTTTCTAACCTGCAGTGGTGCCAGACCCACAGCCACCGTCGCGACCCTTGCCCCCAACGCCAAGAGACGATCCACGTCAGCCGCACAAGGTCTCCACGCCACCTTCGAATCACCAAGCGCCGTCGAGCGGCGGCGGAAGTGCCGCTGGCTCCGGCGGGCAGTCAGCACCGCAGAGAAACAGTCAGATATTTAAACCAATGGTAAGGAACGTCCTTTATACTTTTACTGGTCATGCCCTAAACATTAGTTATGCCATGCGTATGCACACGACTTACTTTCTATTGCTCAGATGAACAAGGGCCCAGCAGGAGACGCGTTCAATTATGATCTCTCTACTCCCAGCCATTTGGATCTCAATGGGATTGGGACTTGCGCTCACAGACACTATCGATTCTATTTCGAGTTATTAGCTCACTCTTGAAATTCTCGAATTCTGGTCTTACCCAAGGAACTCCTAGGAGATATGGAGAAGATCGTTTACACGAGTAGCACGAGAATATAATCACACAGCTGCCACTGGTGATGCTGCTCCGTTAATGCTGCCAGAGATCTGGTCAATTGATTATCTGTTTTTAGCTCTTTTTTTTCTCTCAATCAAAATATGTAATGCCTATGGCATATCTAACATTGTTCTTATGGTGGCTCGTGGCCATTTTACCCTTAAAGCCAGTCTCACGGTTCTCTTACTTCGCTCTCTGTACATCTGACTTGTTTCTCTTTTTTTTCTCTCTCTCTCTTATCTTTGTCCCTTTTCTGTCTGTCATACGAATCTCGCAATTTCACGTTAGAATTCACGACCTACGTTAACGTGCCTATAGTGCGCCGGACACAGCACTTGTCTCATTAAGCACTGCCAGCCCCGGCGGCGTCCCGAGGCTTCGCCACGTCTCGAGGTTAAGAACTTTTAATCAATTTGACAGTCAAAGAATATATATATTTTTTCTTACAGTCAACGCGATAAAGACTCATTGTTACGCGCCTGTCACGTGTACTTCTCGGGGCGAAAACAATCGTTTCTTTCTTAGACGATTATCGTCGTCCCTGACTCGGGAAATACGATGGCAATTGGTATTACTGAAACAAGCGATACGTTCGCGCTCTTTTTATTAGATTATTGGCTTTCTGCCGCCTTGCGAAACGTACTCCGGATACACGAGGGCGGAGCTTTTTGCGGCACGGAACAAAAATTGTTTTTGTCCACCCCGCTTGGCGCCAGATGTCGCGCGCACGTATCTCTTATCAAAGACACGTGCACAAATATAGAAAATCCTAGATAAAAGCCTGTTGCGTTTGGCTTTGGAATGTATTTGGTTTTTCTCTTTTTTTTTTCATGTTCATGTACTGTAGCTGCCGCCGAGGAGGCCGGAGGTAAGAAGACAACACGACCTTCTTCTAGTTCTTCAAGTTTCTTCGCCGCTCTGTCTTCCTCGCCTTACTCTTTGTTCTACCTTCATGGATTTTTCTGTTTAATTTTTTTTTTTTTCTTCATTTTTCAAATACCGTCTCACCGGCAACACTACTCGTTATACATCTGCCACTGTGCATCCACTGTTACACTCAACTGCGCACGGCGTTTATACTCGTTCACGCTTTAACAATGTTATCACGACGTCCTTGTCATTTTAATGTACGATAAAACTCGATTATTTCAAATGAAAGCAGAAAGGACGATGAATCTCGTAGATTCCATCTGTCGATCGCACAGACTGTTAACGAAATTAATTTGGATGATCATACGTCATTGGTTGTCATGGAATCAGATGGATGCATCTAAACTAACCCAGATGTACGTGGCTCATGGTAAAGGAAAGCTTTGTCGGAGTAATATTACCTGTTTGCTAGTCCAGTGCTTATATATTAATCAATCATTAACAAATATCAGTATCGATCCATAAGTCATTAACGTGGGAAGCCAATGGAACACTGTGATCGTACCTATCGATGATCCATCGACTAACAAGTCGTCGCGTCGAAGGTCCCAGGTCTATCCCTAACGAATCTACAAAGGGCCCAAAGACTTGATTGGGAGCGTCCTGGACCGTTCTTGCGACACCTCTCAGTGGGTCCTGGATAGATTCTTATGGATGGACCAGGACCTCGACGGCTTCTGTAATACTAGGATGTGGTGTCTCGGCAGTGACTAACAGGGTCGTGTGTGTGTGCGGGTGGTAGGACTTGGACATGCTGGCTGCTCAACTCAACGAGCTTGGTGTGTCGCAGGGCCCTGAGGCCCCGCCGAGGCCCAACAGGCAGCACAAAACGTCTGCGCCCCCGGCATCGACATCCGTGTCGAATTCGGCGCCTAGCAACGAGCAGAACAGCAAGCAGATGCCACAATCTTCCAGTATTCTCGATCAAGTAAGCACGTGGAAGCTATTGGACTTCTTTGTTGATCAATTGTCATTTAATAATAATGAGCTACTGCTAATCCAACTTTACTCCGTGCACTTTGCGTATGCAGCGCTATCTGCTTTTTTTTTTTGACTACTTCGCTCTCTCGATCACTTTGCCACTACAATTTGACAATTCGATCTGCCTATGTGTTGGGGAATCTTGTGTTACCCGGAACAACTTTTTTTCTTTTCCTTTTAGGCACTGTCAATCGAAAGTGACAGCGACGACGATATCGAGGATCCCAGCGGAAGCAATATGAGGAACGACGGAACCTTGTTGGCCAGTGATCCACCCAAGCCACTGTTAGTATAACGTTCAGTCGATTATACGATAATTTAATAATCGTTGGTTCATTGTCCTTCGTCACTGTCATGCTCTTCATACGTCTTGCTATCACTTCCGGTAATGAACCAATGTACTCTATTGGAACGCCTGTTCGTCCTGGAGTCACGAATCGTTGTCAGGCGCTCGTAACAGGCTTTCCATGTTAATATTTATATTTCAATGTAATTATTACTAATGCCATTCTTATCGTCCTTATTCCCATTTTGTTTTACCTCATCGAAACTCATCAATTTCATCGCGGTTCATCATCATCATCATCATCATCATCATCTGCTCTGCACACCCGTCATCGCTTCATCAATCCCGGTCTTTATTTTTGCCGCTCCAGCCCTGAATTTTCTCCTTTCAGACCGTCGTCGGACTCGTCCCACAATGCTCAGAATTCTCACCACGAAGGTAAGCCAAAAGGTAGGAGAAACGTATCGACTTTCTTTATTACTCTTATACTAATATATATTACAATTTTATTCCAATTGTCATTTTCAGTCCTGCCTATTGATACATTTTTAATTACTTGATTCAAATACATATACATACACCTAACTCGAATCTTCTTTACCGACAGGTGGCGCACCAAATCGACCTCTGCCCCCAACACCCGACGAGGAAGAATCGGGCGATCGCACCTTAGTCATGAAACGAGTAAGTAATCCAAATTTTGCTTCTTATCGTATCCTGCAACCCAGACTCACGTAGCACTGATAATCACTTTTTATTTTTTATTTTTTTTTCACCCTTACAAAACGCAACTGCCGTGTACAAGTCATTACTTATCACATCGTGTATCTCTTGAACGTTCTTGCAACCGAGTATTATCTATATTGTGGGACATTTTATCTTACGACTCTGGAAACGCTCGCTCTTCGCCCGAAGATCGACGCCAATTTCCGATTTCATAATAAAGCATCCTCGCGATTTATTCTTATACCGACGAGATGGGAATAAAAAAATTTTTTTTTTTTTTTTTTTTTTTTTTTTTTTTTTTTTCAAAATCAATCCCATTGGGATCATTCACGTTATAGCTGTAATATCACAGTGAAGAATCAATGTTCACTTTTGAAATTGGACTTTTGGGATACGATTTCTTTTCGTTGTTAATTCTTGTCTTTATCCTTGACCAGTGGCTTTTCCAAAAAGTCGGAGGGGAGAGATTTCTGTCTGTATACATATATATACACACACACACTGTATAAGTAGTTTATGTGTGCCGATGGTTATCGTACACCTCTGTTATCTGTATCCTATCTGTATTTGTGTATATGTATATACACACACGGTATATGTGCATATACTATAAATATATATATATATATATATACGCACATTATATTTATATATTTCACGTAATTTAAGTGTCAGTAGCACTTTGCCTCGATGTTCACGCTTCACATACGAGACGACGTGACACGTTGCTTTTTTTCTTTTTTTTTTTTTAATTAAAAAAATATTTTTTTAAATGTCCACACAAGGACACGTTTCTTATCACGTACATGTATGCTCTCCGTTGAGTCAGAATTTTCCTCGTTTTCACTAAAAATTAACCTTGCCCGCCGTGCGAGGATATCCAAGTCAGCGGGTGCTCAGCGACGATGAAGTTGAATGATTTTTCGAAAAATTTAATGTCGCGTCTGTGGCTCGTTTGGGTCTGAAAAATGTACACTGTTTCAGAGCACAGTGAATATATGCCAGAGACGACGTGTAAGAGTGTATTAACGGTGACGGGATAAGAGGAAAATTCAACTATGGGAGATCCTGTGCTTGTCCTTCTTTTTCCTTTCTCCTCCTTGTCACCGGTGGGAAGAACAAAGGCAAAAGGAAGGAGAAGATCTCTGTCGCGAATGAGAGGAAGGGATCGTGCTGCATTATCTACATTTACTATTAGCGTTATTTATTTTTAACTTTTTTTTTTTGTTTTCTCGTTACATCTCCTTCACTTACCTTGTTCGTAGCTAATTCACTGGCATCCATTACCACGTTCACGCTCGTGTTATCCAGGAGTCTCGTTGTCACTAAAAAAAAAAAAAAAGTAAAGAAATATGCATTTACATGTGCAATTGCAGACAGTACCCATCACCTCGACAGGCTGTTATACCCAACTGATCAATCCTCCTGGTGCAACAAGTCCGCTGTCAGTTGTCCTTCCTCATGTACGAATTTTCATCACATATCAATTTTAACAATTGCATAAACTCTCTGGCACCCAGTACCGACTGACGGCCGCACGACGATCGTTTAGGATCTTGTAGCGTTGCGGACGTAGGAAAATAAAGTACATGGTATTCACGTTAAGTAACCCAAAGAACGGACGTTTACCTGGACGTAGATAGAGAATCTCTAGTTCGTATAAAATCAACGGTCAGGAATCCCGTGATCGAAGTCACGCACGACGTCCTCTAGTCGCGTGATGAAAAAAAATTATCAGACTCGTGAATCGACGGAGCGAGAGTTTGGATTTGGGGGGGAAAAGAGCAAGGAAGGTTCGAGGAGGGTAACTATCGAAAGGAGACGAAAAAAAAAAAATGGATATACATTAGCGAGATAATAGCCCTCCAATTCCACCCACCCACTCACCGTCCCTAAGATCCACAAATTTTCCACCGACGTCAGGAATATTATGCATGTATCTTTTTTTTTTTTGTCATTTCTGTCATTATCCGCCCGCGTAGAAACTTAATCAGCCGGACGATAAAGCGGGAAACAACCGTCGCTCGGAAATAGACGAGCAGCTGCTCCTGAAGGAGTGGGACTTTACCCGCTTCTTTCAAGGATTTAACGAAAGGTTGGATAAAATGAAACAGGAGGTGGCAAGCAAGTCGAGTAGCGAGGAGCGTTCGTCGACCGCCACGTCATCGTCGAGCGACAGGACCCTAAAGCGCGGTACGATGATCGACGGTACGAGCGGTGGCGCCACCTCGACGGCGACTACGGGAACTACGACGAACAGCAGCGCTTCGCACAAGAAGCGCGAGAGCCACCATCAGCAGCATCATTCGCACAATCATCAGAATCAGCCGAAGCCGCTTCACAGGCGACAGGAGTCGGACTCGAAGCTCTCGAATGGACCGTTCAGCCGTGCCTTCAGGAGAGAGAACTCGGACTTCTTCCCGTCCACGAGGCATTCCGCGTACCTTCACAAGTCCGACTCGAAAGCCAGTATATTCGCGAGCGGCAATCGTCGCGGCAGCGAGATCAGCGTGGCCGGTATATCGGGCCCTGGTAAGAAGAGCGCGCCCGGGGAACCGGTACTCACTGACTTCTCGTTTGGCGAGCGGCCCCAGAGGCCGAGGAGGGAGAAAACCGAGAGCGAGATCGTCTTTCGCAATCGGCAGGATTTACGGGAACAGCTGGAGGCCCGACGGCTCGACGTCGAGGCACGTTTCTCGCGCGAGGCCGAGAAAATGCGGAGACGGAGTTGTAGGCCGCTGGAGGCCTCCGATACCGGGACGATTAAGTCGACGGCTAGTACCACGGCTAGCGAGTACAGCCCTGTGACTCAGGTCAGTCCCACCCTGCCAGATCTCCCCAAAACAAAATAATAATAATAATAACAGCAACAACCTACCGCAATCAATTGTACAGCAGACTGTGTCAGAGAACAGGATATATGTATATATTATATATGTCATTGTGATATATCGTATATCGTGTACCTGTATGCCAGAGAGCAAGCAAACGCTACTAAATACGGGATATTCTTGTATTCGTAAACGCCTCTTTCGTATAACTTCGTATATGCAGCCGAGGACTGAGCGTCGTATTTTTTTTTTTTTTTTTTCACCTAACCCAACCTAACCTTGTACAGGAGACTCGCATAACGTTTCTTTCTGACGTACATTAATATTATATATTTAACTCGATCCACCCCATAAACCGTATATACATGTATATGGTGTCTGTCTCTAATTTCTTTTTCCATCTAACTGCTGTCCTGGGTTCTCCTGTAGTCCCCTTTAACTTCCCGTCGGTTCTCTCTCTTTCTTTTTTCTCTCTACCTTTTCAATCTTTTCCTCACTTTCAGCCAATTCACACTCTTTCATTGTTATACTCGAGCTGGCCCCGTAAGCCGACTCCTCCTTTACTGTCCTATTTTATCTTAGCCAATACAGGCTTTACGTCACGCAGTCTGAGCATCCATTGTGACCTCAGTGAGGCCTAGACATTCGTTATTTTCTTTTGCCCTTGGAGTTTATATATATATGTGTGTATATAAATTATGGTATACTGTATAGGGGGGGCAGGGAGGGGTGGCAGGCTCAGGGCGCTATCTGGATGATATAACTTATACGGGATAAAATAGAAAAGTCGCTTTTTTCAAATAAGAAAGAAGATTCGTCTTGCTTTGAAAAAAAAAATTTTTTTTTTCTCTCTCTCTCCCCCCCTTAAATCTGAGGATCGACGATTTTTCGGAGGTCTTATGAAAAATTGACACTTTATGTATATCGTTCAATTTCAGTCGCTCCTTTGTCTCTGTCGGTGCTTATTACTTTATGTATACATATATATATATATACACACACATTTGTAACTCCTCTGACTACCACGTGTTTGACCTCCGCCCTTGCCTTCCTTTATTTTTTTTTTATGGCCTATCGACCCTACTCCAAAAGGTGTCTTTTCTACGCAACGATTTAATCTCGACATTCCTCTGGGGAATCCTTGGAAATTCCCTCTGTCCTCTCTCTCTCTCTCTCTCTCTCTCTCTCTCTCTCTCTCTTTCTCTCTCGTGTCCCTGAACGAAAAACAAAGAGACAACACTTCCCCGTAATTTCGTCCAATCCAACGAAAAAATTAGAAGAAACATACACCTCGCATATCACTGTTATTCAGCTTTCTACTAGCTTTGACTTAGCTTATCGCGCTTATCATAGGCGCCCCCTTAGGCAATCGACCCATGTATACAGTAATACCTTCTGGTAATTATAGTTTGGTGAGCGTTATTAATTATATATATATATATATATATACACATCTCATAGAGGCTAGTCGACAAGAAGCTACAGTGCTTTTCACTAGAGGCGCATCCACCGTTCTTTGCCATAAGTTTAAATGTTTTTTTTTTCTTTTCAACATCTTCTTCACGCACAATACGCTGGCCCGAGGATTCGTAATACCCGTTAGCGTGAGCTGTTAAATGAATTATTTTGATAATCAACGTAGAAGCGATAATATTAATTTCTTCGAGAAATTCCCTCGAGATCATTCAGGTACTTTAGGTCCAAAGTCGATTGATCCTTGAGATCGATCTGTCAAGTGAAATTCTTTACACTTTTCTCTTTAGTCTCGCTCTCTCTCTTTTCTGCAATTTCATTTCATTCCCTTTCCCCTCCATCTCTAAATTCTCTCGTCCCTAAATTAATCGATTAATCAACTGACCAATTAATTGCGCTCTGCTGCCCGGCATTAACGAAATTGGAGCAGACGGCACGCAGCGTGTCCTTTTTTACTGCCGGTACTTTATTTCGAGTCATTCGCGTTAATTAGATGAAAATTAATTAAGCGCTGAACTTGTTCTCTGTTAATATTTATTTCTATCTCGCTGTCTCCTTCTCTCTTTAATCCTTTGGTAGCGGATTATACATTTATTCTCTCTCCTTCTTACTCTTTGTTTTATATATATGTATATTACATACACACGGATAATGATAATACAAATATTATTAATACCTTTTTTGAATCTGGCCTGTGGGAATAACCGCATGGACATATTAATTTTGGGAGTGTAAGAGATCTTTTTTTTATTTTTTCCATAATCTCGTAGAGACAATAGCCTTTAACAATGTAGATACTGATTATACCATTAATACGTACGCGAGTCGTACAGCCGATAACAAAAGTTTCGTCGAACCCACCGCAGCCATGTAAATTCGATAACCACGCGGAAAGCGGGTTCTTTCGGAGATAGAAAAAGTTTTGGCGTTGGAGGACGTGGAGGGGGAAGAATGTGAAATATTGTTCAAATTTTAGTTTCAAAAAAAAAAAAAATGTAAAAAATGTAAAATATTTCGCTACTCCGAGTCGATTGGCCACGGTGGGCTGCTCGAGACCGCGTGTTCGATCGAAAATAACCCCGTTGTGTTTTGTGCTAACAAAAATGAAAATCCAAAAAAAGCGAGACCGACCAATAAGGTCTCTGTCCAAAATATCCGAACTCTTGACCTGCCCCCCCCCAGCCACCTTATGCGAAACCCCGTTTCACCTTTCACTGTCCACGTGTCGAAGGAGAATTTTGAAAAGCAGGAGCCAAAGAAACGCCAGGCCAAGATCCTACTGGAAAGGATATGCCGATCGGACGTGATTATAGACCGAGGTGTCTGGAGCCACGTTAATTTCTACGCCGGCACCATAAATACGTATGGAGCGTAAAGATGCCCGGAGAAGATAATGAGGAATGTGAAATTTTGTCGTGTAAAGAAATCGTCACGCGGGATAACTGTGACAAGAGGAAGAGGAGAACGGATAATGAGAATATTAATGATTAATGAGAAAAGTGAGGTTAGAGTGGACGCGAGTCTTACAGTGGGAGAAGAGAGAGAGAGAGAGAGAGAGAGATGCGAATAAGAAAGAAAAGAGGAAAAAAAGTAATACACGAAACACGGCGTTTCTACAATTTGGCATGGACGAGTCGAATTGAAATTTTCGAAAAAAATCGAATCGCCAAGTCAATGAATTCATGGAAGGATCATTAAAATTTTTCACGGCTCTACCCACGGATCGGTTTTGGTAGTCGTGACAGTTTTGCATGAATCGGAGAAAAAAAAAATAGAAATGCTTGTACATAGAGGACGAGTGTCGGAAGAAGGAAAGAAAAAGGAAAAAAAAAAAAGAAAATGCTGTCAATGGCCCTACCGACTATTATTTACCTACTATGGCATTGCCTCACACGCCTCTTGCTGCTCTTTATTTTTTGTTGCCTTTGTCCTTTGTTTTTTTTTTTTTTTTTTTTTTTTTTTTTTTTTCAATTTTCATTCGTTTTACCTAATCACTCATTCACTTCTGTGCGATTCATTTTTGTTCATCAACCTGTTCTTTACAGTTACCCATATTTTATTGTCTTCAAGACACAATGGATAAGCTGTTATATTAAATGCCCACCGATAGCACGTGGTTTCTGTAGTTCAGTATCGTTCCCATGTACAACGCGCACGAGTAATCCCTTAATACTCGATTAACGTTACTTTCGGAGTTGCGTCAGCGCTAGTCACGATAACACAATTAACGCGATTTCGTAAAGCTTTTCGATAGTGATGGTATTTGGGGGTGGGGGCTGAGATTTACATTAATTGTTTTATAAAAAAAAAAAAAAAAAAAAAAAAACAGTGGCGCCCCCCCACTCGAGGAGCATGCTTGTCTTGTTTTCTTGTCTTTGAGCGGCAAGAAAAGGAAAGAACCAGATCCACGTCGTTTCGTCCAGTGCAAAATAACGATAAATGTTTGTTAATGACAGAGAACGAGAGGGATTTATATATACTTTTTGTATAAGTCATTGCGAGTAATGAAATGTGTAAGAAAAAAATTTAATTTTTTTTTTTTTTTTTTTTTTTTTTTGAAAACATGAATTCATACCCATTACGTTACTCGCAGTTTCTTTTTTTGACTCTCGTGCGTTCATCCTTATTGTATGTTTTTTTTTTGTTCTGTTTGTGCTACCGCTACCGTTCTTGTTAGTCATGTGCGTTTTGTATGCGTTGTGTTGTGCTTGGCTATAGCTGTCATGTATCCAATTGCGTTTTGACGTTGTTCTTGCACATCTTTGTTAATTGTCTTTGTTGGTTATGTATCTCGTCCTACGTGTCCCTCTCACTTGTACTAACTTACACTCACGTCTGAACAGTCTCCTGACACGATTATTTTTTCTCGTTACGTTGGCATGACTGCGAAATTTTATTCTTTAATTCACCTTAGTCGTTAAGGCGATACGACGGATATCTTCTCGAACGTTCCTTTGGAACGTTGGGATTTTTTCTTAATTATATTATTCCTTGATCATTATCTTGACCGACCTGTCGTGTCATAGGTCATAGTGTATACCGAGTCGAGTAATTGTTTCTTGACACTGGTACCTTCCTCTTTATTGATAGAATTTAGCATTTACTATCGTTAACTTGTCAATCGAGCTTGCGTCATGCTGTCCTTATCATTTTTACACGAACTCCGCGCTATGCTGTCTTTCTCACCCTTTTTTGTTTCTTCTTCTTAATTTTAAACTCCAAAGAATCTTTATTTTTATCCTTTACTTCATTTCTCTTTAAAGCTCCGAGACTCTTTTCCTCTTTCATTTCCAAAGCCTTCTTGAGACTTTGCTCTTTCTCTTTTGTTTTCTCCTTTTATCCATACGCGTACTCTCTCTCTCTCTCTCTCTCTCTCTCTCTCTCTCTCTCTCTCTCTCTCTCTCTCTTTCTTCTCCTTCGTCCTATCTTCTATTTTTCTTTTATTATTCTCTCTGTCTCTGCACGACGTACCTCGAGCTCCGTCAAACGACTGAATTCATGAATGACACAGGACCCCAGTTGACTTCTCTCGCAAGAGTTCAGCTGACAGACCGTCGACCACGTGGGTATCTCGATCTAGTCTGCGATAATAAACACAAGAGACGCCTGTATCCATTATAGATATCGAGGAGGAAATAATTTTTGAATTTTCAAACATACAATTTACTCACGAATTCAGACTTTGATGTCTCGCTGGTCACGTTCCGCCTGAATACTTCACAAGATAATACTCCGTGTGTACACTACCTTTATAGATTAGCAATTTCCCGCTTCCTTTGACGTTTCCTCGTCGATCCTTATGAATTCTCATCGATACCGACGACATTTTACAGAGTCGAGAAGGCGATCGACGTGGCGGTGAGTTCCAGCGATCGGACTCCTCGCCAGGTTCACGGCCGAGCTCGGTACTTCCTGACCTATTGACATCGTCGCCAGGTCAACGCCAGGACAAGTCGACTAGCGAGGAGGTCAGATAAGAATGTGCATTTCTTCTAAACAAGAAAGAACAATGCCGGATTACGTATATATAGAACAATTTTTTATCTCTCTTTTTTTTTTTTTTTTTTTTTTTTTTTTTTTTTTTTTTTTTTTTTTTTTTTTTTTTCTTTTCTTTTATCTCTCTCACTCTCTTTTTTTTTCTCTCTCTATATCTACCTTGTTTGTTTGTTTGTTTATTTATTTATTTTTTTTTTTTTAATAGAGACGACACCCTTTCACGTACACCTACCGACTGTCTGTCGAATACATATGGTGGCTTACTCGAGTGACGTCCTTCGTTTTTGCGCCACACAAGAATCTGGCAAGAGGAGAGGATTTTTGACTCGTCGAGGAACCATGAATACTCTTGCCAGGCACTTGTGGACGAGACTGTACATCGAGCCACGAGGACGAAGGATCTATATTATTTTCTTATATTGTAAATAAGTAAAATTAATGAAACTCTGTTATCGATCGATCCTTCGTTTTCTTGGATCGTCGTGTCTCCGGCCGAGCTTCAGTTTCGAAATATTCATAGCGATCGCTTGGACACGTCGTGTTACCGTTCTTCGTTTCTTTATAATTTAATACTGTTTATTCGTTCATTTTTTTTTATTTTTTTTTTTTTTTTTATTATACATACGACATTTACGTTTCTCTCGTTCTGTCTCTACTTGATTAAATACCTTTTTTTTTTTGGACCTAGCGATAGAGAGATTCCGTCCTTGCATCTTTGAAGAAGTAGCTACTCTTTCTCTCTCTTTCTCTCTCTCTCTCTCTATGTTATATGTATTATATGTGTATACATATATATTATTTTTTTGGTTCCCACTATTGTACTCTCTTGTTCTGTCACGTGCGAATTATAATATGCCAAGCGAACGATCCAGCAACTGTCCTCGTGGATCCTGATTGCTGGATCGATCGATCCGAAGGAGCACGAAACGCGGATAGAAAAGTTAAAAGCCAAAAATGAGTGTGTTATTCAGGGAGAAAGCCAAGCCCCTTCTCAATTGTTTAATAGGCGATCGTGGTATGTCAAATTAATGTAAAAGAGATTCCGAAAAGTGACGAGGGTTCAGAGAGATAACCCCCGAACGTAGAAAAATCATATGAGTATTTATTGTTTCCTTTGGACAATATCGTTCGAGTAATTTTTACGTTAGAAATCTTGCGTAACTCTTATCAAGTGTCTGTTATCATAATTTGTGGCTTTCTCGCACGTCCAGGAGACGCGTGCGTGACACGCGTCAACTAGGACGTGGATTTTGTGTAATTTTTCATGTTGGAATAAGTGAGAAAAAAGAGGGTAACACGCAGACGTAGCAATTAGGCCAATCCGAGACGCGAGTAATTGCGTTTGAGAGAGACAAAAAAAAAAGGAAAAGAAAAATTGAATGAAAATGAATAATAGTGTAAAGGATAAAGGAAAATCAGCGTGACTAATTCAGGATTATGTTGTGTGTTGTGGGACTCGCGGGAGCTCTAACTCGAAGGGCAGGGCCCTCTACTGACCACCCCAATCCCAATACTAATTGCAATGTAAGTATTTCATTCATCTACATCAATTCAGTGTCGACTTGGCCATGAACTTTCTGAGGGGACCTGGAGGAACCATTTTGTTTTAGTCTATCACTTTCTCTCTCTCTCTCTCTCTCTCTCTCTCTCTCTCTCTCTCTCTGTCACTATGATTTGTTACTTTGGTATCCTTATTGATCTGTCTGTTGATAAAACTCTATTAGAACCTCTTAAACTCATTAGATAGTTTGGAATGCTGTTTCAATTTGACGGTGTTCTAGATCTTTCTGTTTTGATATTGTTTTTGTTTTTTGTATATAACATTTTTGTTTTCTTACTTTCTCATATCTCCCTCTCTTCTTATGATTCTTGTACGGTTTTTCCTGATGACTCTTACTTTTGGATGTCCTCCTTGGGACACTCCTCTGGACGTCCTTTGTATTGTCCATTTGTTTTCTATGCTTAACCGATATTGTGTAATAATCTGTATTTGTTATGTTTCATTTGTCAAGTTGCTCAGCGGATTGAATTAAATGATTATTGGTGAAGGGGATTGTGAGTGAGGAGTATGATAAATTGATAAAATAAAGAGATGGGAATTAGTCTTGAGTTAGTGGAATCCCATGGGACATTGAAGATTATATCGGGGTGGAGAGAAATGGGTATAGAAGATGAGATGGTGGTCTGGTGTAAATTCTTTGTTTTTTTTTGCACAAATTGAAAATGTAGCAGAGTTGGGCTTCGAGAACACATGATACATGAAAAAAGAAAATGAGGCTACGGTAGTGATGATTAAAATTTCAGCATCGACCACCCTGATGTATCTTGCTTCCTTCTTTAAGATCCTTTGCCCTACTTTCCTTCAAGGGTTGTTTGTTATTCTCTTTCGTTGCTTTGTATATATATATTTGTTTTACTTAATTTCAACGTTATTACTGTTATATTGCCATTTAAAATTCTTTGAGTACAATCTTGCATCTTGGTACCTTTGACATTTTGTTTTCTACTTTTTTAATTATCTCAGACTCTCTCTCTTTGTTTTGCTTTCATTTGACTCTTTTTACCATTCAAGATTACAATCCACCTTTTCTTCCTATTCAATTGGCTTCTCCTATGCGTGGCTTGACTGATAATTTATTCTTGCTCACTAACCTCTGATAACGAGTCTAGATGTTTGGACAGTATGGGGCATTTTTTTTCTACCTGGAGGAGAGTTATCAATCGAATAGATTGATTTAGATCTATTTGGGAAAACGTCTAACCCCTACCTTACTTTGTAATTTGATATTCAAGCATCCTGGCACACTAATCCAATTCTGGTGGATAAAACGAGGAGACGGTGAACTAATTAATGTAGTTCATTAAGACTCGGTCTGGATGATTAATCAGTGCTGCTAATTGATAATAACTGAATTGAATTACTCCACCGTCTTCGTCGGCGATATCCATTAAATCAAAATACTTGAGTCGAATACGCGAGGAACCTGACAATTCATGAGGTTGTATCTGTTGCAGTACCGACAAGCAGTAAAATCACCTCCTCTTGCGCTCCAACAGAAGCAGAGGTCCTTCCTGACCTTTGGCTTCGGCGCTGGACCTGCCAGGAGGGAGTCCCACGTGAACGTCAACGTGACACCCACGAGTCACGACCTGGCCTCGGACACACCTGAGATACGCAAGTACAAGAAGCGCTTCAATAGTGAAATTCTCTGTGCTGCCCTCTGGGGTGAGTATCCCAAGGGATATCCTTAAAAGATAGAGGGACGGATTCATTTGTCTCTTTGGAGCGGAGTAAATAAATGTTCTTTTCGCTGCTTTTGTCACCAGGTGTGAATCTACTCATTGGCACTGAGAATGGATTGATGCTGCTGGACAGGAGCGGTCAGGGTAAGGTGTATCAGCTGATCAGCAGGAGACGGTTTCAGCAAATGGAAGTCCTCGAGGGACAGAACATCCTCATCACCATAAGCGGAAAGAAGAATAGAGTACGAGTTTATTATTTGTCCTGGCTGAAGAGCAAGATCCTACGTACCGACGGGCACAGCGACGTGAGTCTCAGTAACCTGGAACCAGGATGACCCAGTTGGTACCCCTGGAGAACAGTGAGACTCATACGACTTTTTGTAATTTCAGCAGCAAGTGGAGCGACGCAACGGATGGATAAACGTCGGCGATCTCCAGGGCGCCGTACACTTCAAGATAGTCAAATACGAGCGAATAAAGTTCCTCGTTATCGCCCTCAAGGACTCGATAGAGATCTACGCCTGGGCACCAAAGCCCTACCACAAGTTCATGGCCTTCAAATCGTTTGGAGAACTCGCCCACAGGCCACTCCTCGTCGACCTCACCGTTGAGGAGGGCACCAGGCTCAAAGTCATCTACGGGAGTGCCGATGGGTTCCATGCCGTCGACCTGGACTCCGCTACTGTCTACGATATCTATCTACCCAAGCACGTGAGTTATCATCCTCGGGTACTAGTCAGACAGCACTGTTCCTCAGCTTGTTACAATACTGTTCCTTGCTCTTCTTCGCGCAGACTCAAGGCCCCATTTGTCCCCACTGCATCGTCATGCTACCCAACAGCAACGGGATGCAGCTGCTCCTCTGTTACGACAACGAGGGCGTATACGTGAACACTTACGGCAGGGTATCGAAAACCATGGTCTTGCAATGGGGCGAGATGCCTACGAGCGTCGCGTACATTGGCACCGGGCAGATAATGGGCTGGGGAAACAAGGCCATCGAGATCCGGAGTGTCGAGAGTGGACACCTGGATGGCGTCTTCATGCACAAGAAGGCTCAACGGCTCAAGTTCCTTTGTGAACGTAACGATAAGGTACGCTAGATTTTATCACTGAACTCAACGTCCGTACCTGGTGAAACATTTACCTGACGAACGTCCTCTCACATTGATGCTCTTTACGTCTTCCGCAGGTGTTCTTCTCCTCGGCGAAAAGCGGAAGCTCCTGTCAGATCTATTTCATGACATTGAATAAACCCGGCATGGCCAACTGGTGATCCCGAATTAGGCCACGCCTGGCCCCACCATCGTCGCGAGTATCATCATCATCACCAGCATATCCACCGCGTGTACTAGGATACTGTCCGGTACGTCCCTTGACTCACTGTTCACTGCCAGGTGCTACTATGACTGGAATGACACGGTGCACTCATCGGCATCAACGTAACAACAGCAACAGCAACGGCAGACCGCAGTACTTGCTCCACTCGTTCCAAAATACCCAAAGGACACTGAACGTCATCAATCTCCTTGTAAAAAGGTTTCTATGCTTTTTTATGTGCCCCTGCAGTAACAGCACCCCGTGCAGCAGCGTCTAGTGATAGGAAATAGAATGAAGAAGTAATATAACGTGTGGCGAGATATTACGAATGGGAGAGAGACAGAGCTGACGACGATTACTATATGGCTAAGGAGCCTCTGTCTGGAGCTTCCTCGAGAACTTTTCGTTTTCCGGGGGTTATACGTATTATATATAAAGATATGTACCATCGTCACATCGTCTTACTGTTCTTCGTCCCCGAAGAAAGAGGGGAAAAAAAGAAAGGAAGAAAATCCATGAGAATTCGTTTGGTTTTCCCTTACGTTTTCTTCTGATCTTCCTGCCTCGCCGGAAGTCACGGGGGAAAAAATAGCGTGTCTGCGTTTTTCTCGTATACAGTAAGTTCTGCGCGTGGGCCGACAGCAGGCTCTTTTTTTTTTTTTTTTTTTTTTTT